TGTCCTTCTTCTTTTGAAAATAGATGGGTTTCCCTGGTAGATTGAACCACCAGGTAAACCAGGAATCGCCCTCTATTTTTAAACCAAACCGACCAAAAAGGACACCTATGTGAGCCATTGAGCCATGCGGAGACTTCACCGCCGGGCAGGCGAAGCAATCCCAAACCAGGAAGAATCCCATGGAAAGGATGCCAATGGTTACAGCAAGCAATACTCGTGTTGAACCAAGGCCACAGCTGTCCCATGCACATTCAATCGTTGAGCCCTTTGTCCGGTTCCGTTTCCCTTCTGAGTCATAATCAAAACCTGGCACAAAAATGGTGAACCCAGAACCATGTAAGGAATTGAGAAGGCGGATATCCGCAACTACTTCCCGCCTAAAACAGCCCCTTAGGAACCTTCATCCACCCGGGGCTTTGAGCACGTGACTCTTCTGAGCTCCTTCTTGTCCGCCAAGGTCATTGGCGTCTGGCCGTTGTGCATCTTGAGCCTCGGCCAGTCCGATCGGCACAAGGTACACATGGCTAAATGGGTATCCATTTTGGATCCCTGGACTAAAACCTGCGGTGCTTGAATTTTGGCCCATACCCACATGAAGAGATCTCTGCCTTTGAACAACAGAATGCTAAGTCAAACATGGAGGTGCCTTGTGGAACTTGCTTCATGTGATCTCTCACTGCAAACACAAGCGCAATACCGAACGGGTTGCCAAGACAAAGCGAGTTGGCACAAACGAAATAACCTCAGGGGGACGCTGAGGTGCAATCGCAGCCCTTTTCCACTTCTGCATGTCCTAGATACTGCACTACCTCCATTTGCTTAAGTCTGCTGGAAAAAATGGAAAACATAAAATATGTCCAGTAGTGATAGATTCCCTTTGAAACCATCAGGGGGGGGGGGGGGGGAAAAATAATAGTCTGAACCCAAATGGAAGAGTACTTTGCCCGTGATCCGCAAAGAAAAACACCCCACCTCTTCTCCAGCAAGCGTTTCTCCGCTTGTGCCGATCCGTTTCTCGCCGGCTCGGTTCCAAAAGTGTGTTTGCTGCCCAACTCTTCAGCCATGGGACCATGGATCATATGGCTATGGGTCAAAACGAACCGCCAAAAAGCAAGCAAGTCTTCGTCCTTCTTTCCATTTACCTGGATTCCATTTGGGGTACCCATTTTTGACCCATATGGGGGGGCAACTTTGATGTACCCTTGGACATCAGAACTCGGTGAAAAAGTGATGTCCACAAGTGGAGGTTCCAACTCTTCAGAGCCATGGAGGTGTTTCTTACATTTCGGAACCCTTATGTGCGGACGAATCCCAGCGTTTCCATGGCTCCAGCCAAGCCGCTTGGGGTTCGCCCCTACGTCCATGAGGCGAGAGACAACCCGCCTTACGAACCGACGGAAGCCGGGGGACTTCGTGAGTCACTTTGTTGGATAAGGCTGTATACCATAGGTATACCCGAGACCTGTACATATCTACACCTACACTTATACTGGGGCGGGGCGGGGGTTGGGTACTGTCTGGGTACCATGTTGGATTCTATGAGATGTGCTAGGCATCAACAGACATGTGTGCGTGCGTGTGTGTGTGTGTGTTGCTATGTAATTTCAAGCAACCACTGGTAATGCGCGACATAAGATGAGTCAGCAGCATGGTCCTTTCCCAACTTGTTGAGCAACCATGTCACTGTAGGTTGCTGCAACAACTGTCGAGATGCGATCTTCATCTTGTTTGGCCATCAAGGCCTACTTTCGCCCGTGGCTCAGGTCTCCAAGTGCCGCTCTTCTGCCATGAGGTATCGGCAGGGTGGGCTTCATGAACGAGGCTGTGGTGTATGGCAGCTAGTAGAGAGGTTAGAATAAGGTTACCCTTCTTTTCTGTAGTCTATTTTAGCAAGGGAACCCTCCCCGAAAAACAGTGTAAGAGGGCACTACTGGGGGACCTAGGCAGTGTCCATCTTGGGAACGAGCGACTTTTTCATGCTCCTCTGGCAGGCGAACTTTTCAAGGGATCCCGTGGCCTCCCGGTTGGGCCAGGCGAGTCTTCCAGGTTCAACTGACGTGGCCAATGAAGACTCGAAATTAAGACCACCAGGGGACCACAGGTTTTAGCCATTGTCTCCATTTGCCAGGGTGCCATCTTGGGTACCTACTTTCGACCCACAGCCAAATAACATGCTTCAACATCTTCGCTTCGCCCCTCTGCAAACAGCCTGGCTTCGGAATTCTCAGAAGTCCCACGTAACGACGAGACCCAAAAAGTTGGGATCTTGGGATCAGAACTCGGGGGATTTATCGCCTCCAAGTCTTGACGGGTGTCCCTACTCCATTTGCTTAAGCACCCCTAGGGAGCGCCGAACATACAGCCCGAAAGGGGCCGTTTGCGATCCGACGGCTCACACAATGTCCCACCAAGTCAATTTCATACCTGCACATGTTGCAAAGCATAGGCCTTTTGGGTAAGTCCATGGCCCTGGTAAACGGAATAAAACCAATAAAAGGACACCCAGGGCCATGGATAAAAGCCGCGTGTAAAACGTAAGCCATAAGTCGTGCCACAAAATGTTCAACAAATTATCCTAAGGACAGCTATGAGCCTAGGCAGCCCACCCCCCTTCGGCTCACATGCCAAGGCACTGATGGCCCTGCGCAGCCGCCAAGTGCAGAGGGCTGCGCCCGCGCTCGTCCTACGTAGGAACGTTTCGGGGATCAGGGGGGTACCCTCCAACACAGGGGCTTCGGGTATTTTGCGTCTGGCATTGTTGGAAAGGCTCAGCACGAAAGCTTACCTACAGAAAAGCATGAAGCCCGCAGAACTGAATTCTATCATTGGACAGAGGGTACCTCGACGTTAGCTCAGACACCAGAAGAAGAGTGCTACAGACACGTGTGGAAAGTCGTGAGCTTCGCCATGTCGATTTGAAGCCTGACATGTGCCCTCTGGGATCTGGGATCGGAAGCAGCCCCTTTTTCAGTTCAAGAGGCTCCCCACATCGGGGTCGGTGCTTGTGGAAAGTTCGATGGGTCTTCATAAATGGCAGCCTTTGTTCCAGTCAATCTCTTGGGGCTTTTCAGGGCGGTCCGCGTTCGATCCAGGAACGAAATCCTGAACCAGCTTGAATGGATGAACCCCAATGTTCATCCTGCTTGATAAGCCACCTATGGATTGTGTTCATCCTAAGTGGTGCGGGCAAACAGCGAACACGTCCGAACCATTGTGAACACTACAGTGTGTTTACCTGATGGATAAATGGCCCGTTGCAAGCCAGGACTTTCACAACACCATCACGGGTCCCTGGCAAAGCTCAACAAAGTAGTGGGGTCCTTCGACCAAGACACCTGTTCCTGTGGATCTTAACTTATGGCCAAAGCACGAAAGGGAACAAATCCACTGCAGTGACACAAGATCCTCCGTTGTTCAGTGACCCCGGAAAAACCGGAACATTTTTGGGGGAAGACCATTTTAGTAGGGCAGCCACCAAAAAAAAGTGCCACTGAACAACTGACGATCTCAATGTTCGCCCGCCTGCCAAAGCTGACCGCCTTTATGTTGCCTCTTCAAAGCCACATCTGCCAGCGTCGCTTGAATTTCAGTGGGTTGTGGACATGGGAAGCTTGGAGAGTCCCCCGCGTTTTGTGGCACGTTCAAAACGTGAGTTCCCCCATGTCCCTCCCAAATTGACCAGGGACGAGTGATTTTAACCGAACCTGTGTCAGCTGAGGTTCAATTCGGCTCTTGCATCGCCTAACCCATCGATGCATATTCACCGGTGGATGCCCAGCATGGGTCAGAAATAGGAAGACCTCCATCATGGGTTCAGCTGTCCTCTTCGTTTCACTTTAAACCAATCCCAGTGTCGAGTACTTGTCGAGCCCTCAACACACCATCCCATACTTCGAGGAAGCCAACAGAAGGCCAAATCCGCTCCAGGCTACGAGTTTCGATGCTCGTTCCAGGCTCCAGGTGCGCGGTGCGCGGGTCCGGGCGAGCTCTCCTGTAGGTCGACGGACTCCTGCAGGAATTCGTGGTCCGTGAGGTACACCACGGCCTGGCCGACGAACTCAGCGGATGCTTCAAGGCCGCCGCTTCGCCCGTGATATAGCTGTGGGTCAAAGACATGTACCAAACTGGCACCTTGGCAAATGGAACCAAAGACAAAAACCTGCGTAACCCCACTGGGTCTATTTTGAGCCACACCCATATCCTACCTCTCTGCTCGAGAGGAAACTCCCAGTGTAAGAGTCGCTCCTCTGGCCACTTCAGTCACGTCTTCCCGTCCTGGACTTCAAAGTTGTGCAAACTAAGCTAGGTCCTCCAGTCGAGAGGTTAGAAAAAGTTGGTACCAACTTTTTCTGTAGTCTATTTTATAGTAGGGGGACCCTCCCGACCAGAACACGGGTGAGAGGTCGGGCATTGATTCTCCCTGCGACTGCTTCCTACACACTGAAAAGTGAAAGGACCGCTGCGCAGCTCCGGGGAAATGAGCAAGAACGAGCTTGGAATCTTGGTCCATGTCGGTTGCTGTTGGCTCCATTGGATACCTTTCCGTATGCAACGGATGGGAAAGGTTGCAATCACAGTGCCACAGGGTTTTAAAAGAGGCTGTCAAGCCCTTTGGAACGACAGACGCCGCAGAAAGGCGTAGATGATGAAAGAGCCATCCGCGTTTGGTGCAAAGAACGCGCCAAATTCTGCCGCTCGAGTGCTCACCCCAACGAAACCCGACGCCAGGCTCAGCGCTTTCGCACGCCTCGTGGCGGCCGTTGTGCGCTGCGAGGTGCAGGGCGCTTTGCCCTGGGCAGCGGTTCCAGGCTGGGGCCATCGTGAGTCACAATCAAAACCCGTCTATTTGAGTAGGGGAACCCTCCCAACCGAAAGGGAACTACTGGGGGTTTGTAGTCAAAACCCGGGATTAAAATGCTCGTAATCCCAGAACCATGCTTCCAGAATTAAGCCGGATTTCCGCAGCTATTTATGGCAAGGGGTTGTCCCTTACTAAGCGGATCATCTACCCGGAATTTGAGCACGCGGCTCACGTGACCCGGGACCCGCAGGTCTGTTCAGCTTCCCGCGCAACGCCCCAAAAGCCGGACAAATCAAGTTTCGAACGGCCTGTCGCCTTTCAATCCATGGGCGAACATCTGGGCTTGCGGGCTGTGTTGCCTCACTCTGCTTCTGTACGGCCCTCTGGGTTGGACCGGATCTTGAGCTTACCCAATCCAGGCTCCCACATTGTCTCAGTTGTTCAGTGACCCTGAAACAAAAGGGAACCCTGTTTGGGGAAGACCATTTTTAGTAGGGCGGCCTTTAAAAAGGAGAGAGGAACAAGTACGCTCTGCAAACTGACTTGGAACCGGAGGGGGCTACCGTGAGACGGCGCTTACTTAGGCTTGGCCAGAACGTGATGCCTTGTGTAACCAGCAAATTCGCATGAATGGGACACAGGTGTCTAGTTGAGAAAAGCTGTGGCACACAGCGGGAACTTCTTTGAACCCAAGCCCAACCAGAGATTCTTCTAGACATGATTCTGGGGGTGTTCATGTGAATCTTAAATTAGGATTCAGCTTGGAAATAGCTCAGAAAACACTCTTCGCTGGCTTGCGTTGGTTGCAACACCTGTTTCAATATGCCTAAACGCTTGGTACCATGCACAAACGAGGGCAATTGCAAGCTCTCTGAAAGGCAACGGGCAAGAACACGTCCATGGTCAAAGCTGGCTTCCTGAACCGGAACCTTGACATGAGTTTTACGCGTGAAAGGCCACTCGCACTCCCTCTGATGCACAAAATCCACGTGCCAGTTGGGATGGATCAAGACCCTTTGAATACTGGTTGGTAAACTACCAACTCCAATCGGCGCCGATCGGTGTTGATTTTGTAGGCCACAATGCCGGCTAGCAAAAAGCGGCCTTGACCATGGCGGTCGCAAGCATCAGACCCAAATGCCGTCCATCCAACAACCCTATGATGGAGATACCCGTTTTGTTGTAAGAAAAAACCCAACCCGCCGTACCGCCGGGCCTTTCTTGTTGAGATGATGCAAATCTGCTTTGGCATCCAGGAGGACAGCAATGACTGTGGTGCCTAGGAGCAATCGGATGTCGGGAGCGGATTGGTTGAACTGGATAACGAATAATACTTTGAGTTGCTTAATGCACAGCCATGTGCACCATGGTCAAAACTCCGCATGTGAGTCATGGTCATGGATCCTTGACCAGGAATGCTTTGATTGGTGGCCACAAACGGCGTTGAAGGGTTCATGACCAGCCTAGTTACCGCAAGCAACAGAGCGCTTCGACCATGGCACATATGATCATGTAGTTGCACAGGGTGATAGGACCTCCCACCCATGTGAGCACATGGTCAAAACTCCTCGCGTGAGTCATATTTTCCTCAAGGAAGAAGCCTTTGAACAACAATTGTTGAAGTACTTGCCCTACAAATGGGTTGATGCTCATCCCTGCCAACCCCAACCAAAAGATTGTTCGTGATCATGGCACATGTGAGGTTCGGTCACAATAGGGCCACTTGAGCACATCGAAACGCCAACCAAAAAGTGACCTAGCGGCCAAAGGCGCCGGTTGGAGCGGGAAAAAAAAAAAACGACGCCTTTCACCTGAATCCCCGCTGACCCCCACTGAAACCAAGAAAAACTGCCAGGTTCTCCAGGGCTGGAAGCCCGATTCCCCCCGTTTTTTAAGCCACCCGGGGCACCCTCAAGACACCCTCCACATGCTCGCCCTGGACCAGACATTCTTCAGCCCGAAAGCACCTCTCACCGACAGGGGCCCACGGAATCGAAGCCTCGATGTGACCCAGGATCTAAGTAGAACCCGTCCCATTCTCAGGGGGGGTGGTCCCTCCCCTAGTGGTCTGAATGTCCACTGAAGGGGCAAACCCCCCGAGTAATCAACGTAATCAACCAGGGGGTGTGTTAATCTGGGGTCAACATTAAGACTTGAATTAGAGACGGTCTGGACATTTGCAAGAGACTAATTAATCCGACAGAGGCCATGGATGTTCCACATCCGGCTTGTCCAGAAGAACCTGCTTGGGTCTCCAAAGCACTCACCAGAGATGTTTTTCGGCAAGCAAAAGTGTTTTTTCAAGCTTCCCAAAGATACCGCGATCCATACTTGCCACGACAAATAATCGATTGAAACGGACAGTCAAACAGAGAGAAAGAGACACAGAGAGAAAAAGAGAGAGAGAGAGAGAAAGAAAAAATGGGAAAAAACACAGAGAGAGAGAGAGGGAGAGAGAGAGAGGGAACAAGAGCGAGAGAAAAGAGAGGTGTTTTGTCTTTCTTTTGTCCAGAAACAAGTGTTCTTGCTGAGGGCGCTGCTGGCAGCGAAGAAGACGGGCGACTGGCCCACCTTGGATGCAAACGACAAAGCCTTGAAAAAGAACTTGGGGATTGGGTCACGGCACATGGCGTCCAACCTTGACATTGACCACATGAGGTCTGACGTTGGGGCCGCGAAAAAATGCAAAGCAACACGCAGAACTCTCAAAATGCATTCAGCGAAAAAACACTGCTCAAACTCTGCTGGATTGGACAACTGGCTTGTTGGCAGAAGTACCTCGTTGAATAAACTCGCAAAGCTCAGGCAAACACTAGATGCTCAAAAGTTCTGCGAATGGCGCAAAGCAAACATCATGAACATCATGACGGCGGATTGCCAGGATGTGCCATGGGTATGGGGTGGTAGAGCAGTAAAGCCAAAGCCAACAGCAACTGCAGGTGGAGGAAAACTCATGACAGTGCCCTTCGGAGTTTTGTCTGGTTCAAGCTGGCACTCATTTGCAGTGGGCGGGCCTCCCAAAGAGCCAAACGCTTCACAAGTTTGCAAGCAAATACCTGCCTCAAGGTGCTGCTACAATCCATGAACCTGCTGATGAATATGATATTTGGCCTCCGTCCAGAGACTCATGATCCAACATATGAGAGGCCATGCCGTGCCGACAGCTGCTCGAGCATGTGGCACCTCGGGCCCGGCCTGATCTTGGACATTGACATTGGCCTTGTGCATCAGGAGCAACTGCACCATTTGTGCGGAGTCCTGGATGGTGCTGGTTTTTCCGCTGGACAAGTAAAGTAGTTGCTAAGTAGTCTAGGTCCTCCAGTAGAGAGGTTAGAAAAAGTTGGTACCAACTCTTTTCTGCAGTCTATTTTAGTAGGTGAACCCAAAACCCCCTAAAACCCCTCCCCAAAAAAAGAAACGGGTGAGAGGTCGGGCACCAATTGCTGGGCTTTGCCTTCCGCAAGCTACCGGCGAACGGCCATCCACGGTTCTGGGTTTCCCTGGCCAATCAGCAAAGGATACCGTCTGATCCCCAAACGCCGCACTCCTGCATCAAATCCCCCGATCAGAAAGACCCAAAGTCTCTCAAGTTTCTCTCTCTCTCTCTCTCGCCTGATGCACGGCGGTGTGCAGCGAAGTTACAAGCTTTGTGTCCTGCTGGTTCACCTCAGCCTTGGCCTGCACGTGCCGTCTGAGTGATCGGTTGCTTCTGCTCCCCTGCTAAAAGCTTAACTGGTAGTGGTTTAGTGGAAAACCCATTCGTTGGCAAAAAGTTAAAGTCCTAACATCCAAGCGAAATGCACCAATGAGTGCGTCGTCTGAAATTTTCCTTGTGGCTTCCCATTCAATAACCAAGCCGAAAGGCTACTCACTTCGAAAAAAAATGGCCTGCAGGGTCGCGCAACTGGGAGCGTCTGTTTTTGAGGCTAACCTGGTTGATGGGAAACCAGAAGGAACCCCAACCAATTTTGGAGCCCCTAGTTTTGGAAACGCCAAACTGTTTTCCTGCTCCTTGGATACCATCTGAATCATAGCCTGTTGGTGTGTTTACAGGTAAACACGCAGAATCAAGCGTGGGCAACGCCATGTCTTACCTTGTTTCTGGGTAAAACTACTACAATTCACAAACCGGAAATGAGGAATCCCCAAGTCCATTCAGCTCTGCATGGTGATTTTTCGCCGCTTGCTTGGGCCCGGAAAAGCATGCGACAGGGCTCAAAAAAAACACGATCAGATAAAAGGGTCCTAGTTTTGGCCCAGGTGTGGCAAAAGGCCATGCAATCTATCCTAGGTCCTCCAGGGAGGTTAGAATAAGCTGGTACCAACTTTTTTCTGTACTCTATTTCAGGGGAACTTTTCCAACCGAAAAAGGGGTGAGAAAGGCGCCGCGCTTCTTCGAGGGCGGCGCCAAAGCCATGGCCGGAAAAAAAATCCGATCCGGTCCCAGAGAGTGAACGTGTTGCCAAGACGGAAACAGAAACCCAACAGAAAGGGACTTAGATTGGAACAACCACACCCTTTATATGGGAAAACAGAAACACCGTGGAAAAAAAACACCTTCTATGGGAACAAAAACCCCATCTTAGATTGGACCAAAACCCCACCCTTTATATGGGAAAACAGAAACACCGTGGAAAAAAAACACCTTCTATGGGAACAAAAACCCCATCTTAGATTGGACCAAAACCCCACCCTTTATATGGGAAAACAGAAACACCGTGGAAAAAAAACACCTTCTATGGGAACAAAAACCCCATCTTAGATTGGACCAAAACCCCACCCTTTATATGGGAAAACAGAAACACCGTGGAAAAAAACACCTTCTATGGGAACAAAAACCCCATCTTAGATTGGACCAAAACCCCACCCTTTATATGGGAAAACAGAAACACCGTGGAAAAAAACACCTTCTATGGGAACAAAAACCCCATCTTAGGATTGGACCAAAACCCCACCCTTTATATGGGAAACAGAAACACCGTGGAAAAAAAAACACCTTCTATGGGAACAAAAACCCCATCTTAGATTGGACCAAAACCCCACCCTTTATATGGGAAAACAGGGAACAAAAACCCCATCTTAGATTGGAACAGCAGTGTCCTTCTTCTTGAGCGTGAAGGCCGAAAGGTGTCGTGCCTGGAGGGCTTTCTTGATTTCTCCTGCGGAGAAACTCGTTGTCTTAACAACATTGAGGTGAGCGCGTACTTTGTCGACCAACTCTGAGTGACTCCTCATGAACTTGAGATCCGACGGAGCTGTCATCGGCACCCCTTCCAGCATGTCCTTCGCGATCGATGATGTCATGTTCAACCGGCGAGCAGCAGCTCTGAGCTCACGAAGCTGTGCACTTTGCATCAGACTTTGGACTCCCGGCATTGATCGCAAGCTCGCCAAAACTGCTGGGTGCAGCAGGTGCCGGACTCCCAGAAATTGAGACAGATCTGGCGAATTTTGGGCACAGCTATCCGGATTCTTTCGGTTGCTCTTTCTTATGAGAAAACAGAAACACCGTGGAAAAAAGCATGGGAACAAAAAACCCATCTTATATTGGAAAAAAACACCCTTTATATGGGAAAACAGAACACCGTGGAAAAAAAACACCTTCTACGGGAACAAACACCCCATCTTTTATTGGAACAAAACCCCACCCTATATGGGAAAACAAACCCACCTTATATGGGGAAAAGAACACCTTCTATGGAAACAAAAACCCCATCTTATATTGGAACAAAACCCCACCCTATATGGGAAAACACACCCACCTTGTATGAGAAAAAAACAACTTCTATGGGAACAAAAACCCCATCTTATATTGGAACAAAACCCCACCGTGGGAACAAAAACCCCATCTTAGATTGGAACAAAACCCCACCCTTTATATGGGAAAACAGAAACACCGTGGAAAAAAACCACCTTCTATGGGAACAACAACCCTATCTTAGATTGGAATAAAACCCCACCTTCTATCAGAAAACAGAAACAGCGTGAAAAAAAACACAAAAATCTATGGGAACAACCCATCTTAGATTGGAACAAAACCCCACCCTATATGGGAAAACAAACCCACCTTATATGGGGAAAAAAACACCTTCTATGGGAACAAAAACCCCATCTTATATTGGAACAAAACCCCACCCTATATGAGAACACAAACCCACCTTATATGGGGAAAAAACACCTTCTATTGGAACAAAAAACCCATCTTGAGTTGGAACAAAACCCCACCCTATATGGGAAAACAAACCCACCTCATGTGGGGAAAAACACACCTTCTATGGGAACAAAAAACCCATCTTATATTGGAACAAAACCCCACCGTGGGAACAAAAACCACATCTTAGATTGGAACAAACCCCACCCTATATGGGAAAACAGACCGACCAACAAATAAAACTTCTATGGGAACAAAAACCCCATCTTAGACTGAAACAAAACGCCACCCTATATGGGAAAACAGGCCCACCTTTAAAAAAAGTTCTATGGAAACAAAAACCCCATCTTAGATTGGAACAAAACCCCACCCTATGTGGGAAAACAGACCCACCTTAAAAGGAGGGAAAAACCTTCTATGGAAACAATAACCCCATCTTAGATTGGAACAAAACCCCACCCTATATGGAAAAACAAACCCACCTTATATGGGGAAAAACACTTTATATGGGAACAAAAACCTCATCATATATTGGAACAAAACCCCACCCTATACGGAAAAACAACCCCACCTTATATGGGGAAAAAACACCTTCTATGGGAACCAAAAACCGTCTTATATTATTGAAACAAAACCCCACCCTATATGGGAAAACAGACCCGCCTTATATGAGGGAAACAAAACCCTTCTATGGGAACAACCACCACATCTTATATTGGAACAAAAACCCACTCTATATGGGAAAACAAACCCACCTTATATGCGGAAAAAACACCTTCTATGGGAACAAAAAACCCATCTTATATTGGAACAAAACAAAACATACATATATATATATATATATGGGAAAACAAACCCACCTTATATGGGGAAAAAACACCTTCTATGGGAACAAAACCCCCATCTTATATTGGAACAAAACCCCACCCTATATGGGAAAACAAACCCACCTTTTGTGGGGGAAAAACATCTTCTATGGGAACAAAAACCCCATCTTCCACCCTATATGGGAAAACAAACCCACCTTATATGGGGAAAAACACACCTTCTATGGGAACAACAACCCCATCTTATATTGGAACAAATACCCAAAAAAACCTTCTATGGGAATAAAAACCCATCTTATATTGGAACAAAACCCCCACCCTATATGGGCAAACAGACCCACCTTATATGGGGAAAAAACGGGAACAATAACCCCATCTTATATGGAACAAAACCCCACCCTATATGGGAAAACAAACTCACCTTATATGGGGGGGGAAAAAGAAAAAAAAGAAAAAGAAAAAAACACGCCGCTCAGCGAATCCCCTGAATCTAACCCAGGGCAAAAGGGGCGAGGTAAGTCTGGTGCAAGGGCACGCGATTTTTTCGCAGCTGGCCTGGAAGAGCTTCCTGGCCAGCCTCAGCTTTTCGGCAGACTCTTAAAGAAAGCTGGGAATGTCCACTCATGGGGGCTGGGAGGAGGGACCAAACCCTCCCCCCCCCCCAGGCCCCATGATCAACTTCAGATTCGTCCGGAGGACGGACCATAGGAACCATCGGTGGTGGCCTTTTCATTCAATGTATGAATCCCAAGTTGCGACAAAACAAGAATCGCCCCGACAGGGCCATGAGAGGATGAGAATCAGAAGGGCAAAGTCAAGAACACCGCCTCACCCAAACCACCAACCAGCCACATTGCCTGGATCAATAGCATGCTTACGCGCATCAATCCCTCCTGCTTTCCACAGATTCAACAATGCAGGATGCCGCTCCACATCTTCGAAACATCGGGTCGTCCAAACAACTCCCACGGCATGAAATTGCAAGTTCGCCTGTGTTGCCTGGAGGGCCATTCCATTGAACCAACAGGATGCGCTAAAAATCGGCACCACCCGACTCCTCGTTTCGGACAGGTCTGCTTGTGAAATCCAGCCAGCCGGGCTGCCAATTCCAATCCCGATGTTCAAAACTTACCCGGACGAGAAAATGGGATCATAGTGCCGGTCTCATCCGCCCCAATCAAGGCCAGCAACTCGCGCTGGCAAAACCACCGCGGCATTTGTTGCATCCATTACCCCTTGCTTGAATGCAGCCTTTCCATCCACCCCAACTGGCTCACTGATTCGTCCAAGCTGCTTGACATTTGAGTGTCTCCTTGGCACGCTCGCGCGACCACTGTATCGAAAACCCCTGGAACATGTTGCACCTGCCACTGAACCTTTGGGAACCAACGGGCAGCAAAGCATGAGCTTTGCAATGTGCGAAGTCCGTAGTAGTGTAAGGGACCGAATGATTACCATTCACCAGGCAACCCCATTCTAATTGCATAGCTGAGAGTATCCCTAGTGACCCACAAGTGGAGAGAGCTCCAGGTCTTTGGCTGGACAACTCAGCAAGCGGCTCCTTCCGAATCCGAGAAAACGGTCAAAGCCCGCGGCATTAAAATGGGCTACTCAGAACCATGTCCAAATAAATTATTCAAAAAACAAAAAAACGAAAAAGTGGCGAAAGCACCCATGGATGGCTGGGACTATCCCTCACTAACCTTCATCTATCCAGGTTTTGATGGCTCAACTGGGCACCTAGATTCCCGAGTGGACGGCCCGCAAAAAGTCCAAACTCTTTTCGCAAGTGGCCCGGAAAAAGTCCAAACATGTTTCGTGAGTCCATGAACTCGAGTGAGGCACCGGGTTCCGACAACTTCGCCGAGCGGCGCGGCCAGCATCAAGGGGAAGCTGCCGGTCTCCGAGCGGCGGTTCGGATCGGCGCGGCTCTCCAGGAGCAGATCCACCTTGGGGCGGAAAGTCGGGGGCCTTGCCTTGAAAGATGGTTTAAGCAAATGCTCCCCTGCAAATTCGCGAGAGGAACCCCAAAAAGGGCACCCCAAGACGAGATCCCTGGAAAAATGATGGTTATGGGCTCGATTTTACTCTGTGGGAGTAGCGTTTAGATATCAAACAAACAAAACTAAGCAAATCAAACCAACAAACCCAGCCAAACTGGGTGGTTGGCCTTGGAGCACGGTCCGTTTGGGAGATGTTTGTTCCAAAGCACGCAGCGAGCTCACATTGCACAACAACCCTGGGTATCGAGTCGTCGTAGTAGTCGTAGTAGTCGTAGTAGCCGTAGTAGTCGTAGTAGCCGTAGTAGTCGAGGTAGTAGTACTAGTAGTCGTAGTACTAGTAGTAGTAGTAGTAGTAGTAGTAGTAGTAGTAGTAGTAGTAGTAGTAGTAGTAGTAGTAGTAGTAGACGTAGTAGACGTAGTAGTAGTAGTAGTAGTAGTAGTAGTAGTAGTAGTCGAGGTAGTAGTACTAGTAGTCGTAGTACTACTAGTAGTAGTAGTAGTAGTAGTAGTAGTAGTCGAGGTAGTAGTACTAGTAGTCGTAGTACTACTAGTAGTAGTAGCAGTAGTAGCAGTAGTAGTAGTAGTAGTAGGTTGCAGTCGCAGTCGCCGTCGCCGTCGCAGCGCTACGCGGAATCCTAGACGGAACCCACGCGGACTGAATTCCGGGCAGGCCAGAACACATCCGATAAACTCCCTTTCCTGTGGAGGAGGCAAGGTTGCAACAAGGCCTTTAGCTTAAAACAAAGACACTAATAAATACAAGAAACACTCAAGTCACGGATTCCCTTGGGTTGAACAAATGGGTGCCACCTGACAACTCGCTGAAATGGAGCCAACGCACAAACCAAGCAACCCGGACTTTGCTTCAATGCGCTCTGAACTCTTCTCCAAGCCGGGCTCCCTGTCTTGACTTCCCCGGGTGAAACTCGCGCGCCCGGAATTTCCTTGTGACAATTGGCCTTGACTGCAAAACGACCAGCAGGCGCCTTTTGAGCTCGGAGTGGAACTGATACGGCACCATGGTGGGGGGAAAAAAAAGACCTGCGATGCCGAAATGGGATTCCCATCCCCACCACTTGGGCACTTTAGCAGGAATGCCCCTTGTCGCAGAAACTGGCGCCTAACAATACCTCGAAACCACGCCTTCGCCAGGTCGTTGTCCAGCTTCACTGCCTCCAAAATTTTTTTATCTTTACCCCCACGCGACTGCTTTCTGGAGTGTGGAGCCCGAGCGCCTCTCTTGGACAAAATCAAGATCTGTACAAGAAAGGTTTGGATTGGAGAGGATGGGTGTCGAGCTGCTTGCACTTGCCAAGACAGATTTGGGAAATAGGCAGGGCATTCACTGACAAAGCTTGCATAGCTCAAATCGGAAATAGTCCCGTTGCAGTATCATTGCATGGAAAACTGTCAGAACAATGTCGTGCTAGAAGCCAACATGGTGATGACTGGGTTGACTACTGCCATGCGTCGAGCAACCGAGCGGAGAACGAGGCTCTGGTCGCGTCACAGACCAATACGAATCTGATCATGAGCTGATGTAGCGTCGGTCACAAAGCCACGTCCAAGCAGCGCGGCATGAGCAATCCAACTAACCTACGCAAAGTCTACTGCCAGAGCATGATTCAGTTAAACTGCCATGCTGCCTCGTTCGGCAGGTTTGCAACATGGTCAGAGCCTTTGAACTTTGCCCTGGAATCTGACTTGAAAACGTGTGTCGGAGTCTTTTGGGGAACATTTTGTTCGGGAACCATTTGTCATTCTGAATGTTCCCCATCTCTTTCCGATCTTTTGAACATTGTGTCTCCAAATGTCGAAACCGCCAGCTGCAAACCTCAAAAGCCATGTCCCAGGTGCAGCTGGCCTCGATCCTGGGTTCACCTCTTGTGCTCTCGCCAAGGAATCTCCATGCCGTTGTCTCGTTGGGCAACTTTCTTGTGAGGATGCGTACGAAGTTGGAAAATCAGGGCGGATAATACCACTATGAACTGAAGCCTCACTGAAACCAGAAGTTTTTGAAAAGAACTGGCAACAAAAGGAGGGGCTCAGGAATGGAAGGCAAGGAAACGGCCTCTTTGGGCCGCGCGCGGAACGCGGAACTCTCCTCGCCTCCTCAATGGCAAGGCACAGCAGGGTGCGGCGCTCGCCCGCGTCCTGTGAATCAAATGAGTCACAATCAAAACCCGGTATTAAAATTGCCGACCCACAAAAATTTAAGGAATTCAGAAGGCGGCCGCAGCTATTTATGGTTGGGGTTGTCCCTTACTAACCTTTATCTACCCGGGTTTTGATTGTGAATCAAATAGTGCCAGTTGCGCAAACAGGCCCTGGACAAAGTTGCGAACGTTCCCCGATGGGAAACTTGAGTCTTGACCCCGGTTTTTTTGGGGGGGGAGATTGGAGGCCCGACCCCCGTTCTTGTCCTTCCCAAGCTAAGAACCAGACCTACCGGAAATTTCGTCAGCTCATTTGGTGCCCAAAACGTCGCTCGTGGGATATGTCATTCCCTCTAAACCCAGCAAAAAGTCGCAGGGTATGGCCAGAAGGACCTGATCAACAGTCATGGTGCGGAATCACATTGACTTTGGGTAAATGTATCCATTTGAACGGTGTCTTTCGAGGCTACCCTTGTCATCTTGGCTTAAAAAGAAGGAGTGTACCAGTGTACCCCTTTGGAGACTACTTGGCTTAAAAACAACCCAAAAGGATGAGTGTAATGGCATGCCCTCAAAAGTAGGTGACAATAAATAGTGACCGTTCCCCGTTCCCCGCATCTTTCCTGAGATGTGCGTTTGGTGCCCGCGAAGAACACTGGAAGATTCGGGCTCCGCCCCCCTCCTCCCCCAACCCCCCGGTTTTTGTGGTTGAACTGTGAGTCCCCCTGGTCACTCTCAACTTAACAAGTTGACTGGGTTGGTTCAATTCTGTGGTCCGAGGCCTAATCAAAATTGTCATGCCCTGGTTGGGCAACAGGTGCCACAGAGTTGGTGGAAGGACGTTTCCACACCCACGCACACACACACACACACACCACACAAGTCTGGGGCTGTACGGCTTCCACGGGCTCTTCGTTCGCGGTTGATTCGGACTGAGGCTGACTCGAGCCCAAGTTTCTCGATTCGGGTGGTTTAATTGAGGCGCCAAGGCCTCTTTTGCTGGATTCTGTGTGTTTTGCAGGCCATTGGAGCAGCTTGAAAGCGCAATTGGCTCACGCCTTAGAACAACCAGAATTGCAGGATGTCAGCTGCTGTGTGAGTGAAGTTGGAACAAGCCCCAACGTCCAGCGTTCTGATGGGAAACATACTCGCTTCCTGAGTTGATTGGCCAAAAAAAGTCCAAACTTTTTGTTTACCACCCAAATGGTCTTCCCAAAAAGTATAAAGTCCATGAACTCAGGGAGTGAGCATATCCTCATCGCAAAATTGATCCTCTGTACACTAAAACGAGCTGCATTTGTGTAGAAGAACCCTGACAAAACAATTGCGCCCAGATCTCTCCTGAAAAGCTCCCACGTGCCGAGATTGGTCAACTAGCCCAGACTCATCCTTGAAAGCACAATCCAGCAAAGCTACTATCCATGGATTGGGGGTTGTGTTCTTTGCGGGATCCTTTCCAGGTTGGTGAAAAGAGACAACTAAACGAAATACTCGGTTGCTTTCTGCTCCCCTGCTAAAAGTTTTGAATCTTAGTGGTTTGATGGAAAACCCATTCGTTGGCAAAAAGCTCTCGAGTCCTAACATCCCTTGGCAAAATGCCCCAAAGAAACGAAACCCGCAGTTCGCTTGGGGATGAGTCAGGGAACCCCCAGATGGCTTGTCCATTTGGCCAGGAGTCCCAATGCGCCCGACAGAAAATGCCGGCTCTCCTCAAAGGACAGGGCATTCGGGTCGATCCCATGCCTGGCAATCCAGGCGACCGCCCTACCACAGAAGCACAAGCCACGGTGAAACACATGTGCATAATAGATACACAAATACATATACATACACATATACATATACATAGTCATATACATATACATATACATATACAAATGTGCAAGGTACATACATGTGTATATATACATATACAATACTCACATATGCACATGTGCTTTTTGCAATTTTGCTGGTAGGGTACCACAAGCCTGTGCATTTGTTTGGCTCCATAAATGGTGTCGACTCTCCAGGTAGGGCAGACATGGGCGTTGGTTTACCGCCCTAACTTCAACTTTCCACAGAAAGGTCTCATTCGAGCACAGGATCTTTCTTCAAGTCCCGGGACCGAGTCATCCAAGCCGTGCCCAATCTCCTGGATTTCTGTGAGAACCTCAGGGTTCTTGGATCAGGCAAAGGGCAAAATCTGTGTGATCCAATGTCTGCGAAGGATGTGTTTGTAAAACCCTCTTGATTGGACAGGCGGAGCTTGGCCGCCAACGGACCCTGGAAACAAAGAAGCTTACAAGCCAAATCGAAAGGAGAGCACAAGCAGAAGAAACTCCATGAGATATCCCCCGAATATGTTGGCTGTGATTTGATTTTTATCCTCCAGCTCAACATCTGATACGGTCAAATCTGTCAAACAGCTTGTACAGTTTAAATGCGCAGGTCCTCCTGGAATGACGGCCTGGACTCTCCCGAAGCAAGATGTCGATCTTCAAAGCAAAAAATAAATCAACATGTAACGGTCGAGAAAAAAAAAGTAACTATATGATTGACCGCCAGATGCAATGCAGCGCAGAGATAATTTGGCCAATGTTGCAATTGCTAGCCTCTGACTGCAAAGGCGTCCGCATCCAAAGTTTGCGGGCACAGATCCATCAAGTGGAAACATGCCCAGAACGCCGCAAGACTAAGCCTCTGTGTCCAAGAACCGATGCAAAGCGAGATTCTCCACCAAAGACTGGCCGGCATGGTATGGCTGTGGGTCAAAATTAGACCACCAGGAATCGGACCGTAGGTTTTAGTCCATGTTTCCATTTATCATAATAACCCATTTTGGGGTTACCCTGTTTTTAACACCCACAGCCTGCCAAAAACGTCGCCATGACACACGACGTCGCTTGAGCTTTCTGCCCGTCCCTGCTTTAGAAGCTTGGCCAGGGATGGCTTCGACATGGCTGTGGCTCAACAAACCGCTACCAAAATGGGTTGTTCATTCTATTTTTGGGGCCCGGGAAAGGGGGGGTCAAACTTGCAGATGCATGCATTCGGGCAACTCATGATAAACTCACCTCGGGTGGAACTAGCGATGAAGTGATTTGCCCCAGATGCATCTTTAGGGGCATTGTGCTTTACGATCGACCCGGGGTTTTGAATGCTATTTCCGTGATTGGGTGTCCAATCACGGTTTGTCTTTGCATTCTCTTCGGGCATTGGCTGATTTGTCCGCTGTTTGAGCCCTGAAGCATTTGCTCTTGGGCTTTGGAGCCCCAAAGATGAACAGCTTCCTCCTCGCAATGGCGGCGGCGCGAGTGGGTTGCGCCGCCCAAAGGTTCTCATTCTTTGGGGTGGGGAATGAAGAAATGCCCCAGATCCACTGAGGGCCATAGCAGGCGGATAGGAATGTCCTGCTCCTTGCTCCTTAAACTGGGGTCATTATTTGGACTGTTTCCAGGGGTTATCAAAGTCAGAAGCTGGGGTTGCTTCCCCTTGAGCTATCACTTAGAAAGTAACTTTGACAATGGTAAAACCATGGGGCCAGTTATAACTTTTTGCCAACTAATGGGTTTTCCTTTCATTTAACCACTAAATGTTAGTCACGTTTAGGGGGCAGATTTCGCAACCGAGGGAATGTCCTGCCCCTTCAACTTATAACTTATAATAGTTGCCGTGGGGCGTGCCAGGGCGAACTCTCACGCGGAGCCCACGTTTTCGGCCAGGTCTTCGGCCCGGATATCTGAACTACTCCCCATTTCTCACATGGGTATGGGTCAAAACATAACCACAAGAGGACCGCAGGTTTTAGTCTTTGGCTCCATTTATCAGGGCAAGCCATTTAGCCATTTTGGGGTTACCGCATTCTTGACAACCACAGCCACATGTTGTTTTTTTGGCTTTTGCTTGGCTTGTTTTCATGGGGCACTTCAAAGAGCCGCCAAATGGGAGATGCCGATGTTGGGATGGGAAAATAGGCAAGAAGTTCCCCGTGGAAGGCCACCCGAAGCTTCGCACCCAAAGGGATCTTCTCGGATCAATCAGCGCGATCGCGTTTTCGGCACACGATCTGCATGTGCCAGGTGTGATTCAAAGCCCATTGCGCCTTGGGCTGCAACCAGGAAGACTTAGGGATGAACATATCCCAGTGGCTCAAAAACATGTACCCAAAATGGCCCCGAGGTAGATGGAAGCAAAGATCTAAGACCTGTGGAACCCAAGCTCTTTAGTTTTGAGCCACGCCCATATGTCATACTGGGATGGACCATGTGAGAACTCAATGCGGGAAGGCGTGGGCCATGTTGGCCATGTTTTACCACGTCGCTTATCAGGGCTCCTTAAAAGATACATTTTGCAACCATTTGAAGCATGGCTTTTTCCACCGAAAGAAAGCGGCAGATCTCAGGCGCGGCGGGCAAGTTCACGGGGGGTGGGGGGGGTCGAAAAAGGAAGCGACCATCTTTGTGACAACCCCCCATACGATACAGTGCAACAAAAGACGGCAAAAAGACTTGGCTGCATGTGGGGTGTGGCATGCGGGGTGTGTTTTTGCTGTCAACCATTGGAGTCCCGGTCTACGACTGGCTTCACCCACCCACCCACCCACCCACCCACCCACCCACCCTAGATGATGAACCCACCAGGTAAACCAGGGCCACCTATTTTTCTACGAAAACAACCAAAAAGGACACCTATGGTCACACGACAAATGACCGTGAGCAAAGTTGGTGTTCGCCTCCAGTACTGCAAAATGTTGCACCAGTCGGTAAGTGGTTTATCCCCGCATGCATAGGGGTCATAAGCGCAGGAATTTGCCCGTCCAAAGCACCAAAGACCCTTGCCAGCTAGTGGCCTGCTTCACCGTTCCAGTCTGACGATCTTGGCCAACCATGCGGCAACATTCTCGGCCTGTTCCCTTCCAGAAACGGGCAATTGCAAAGAAACGCCTCAAACGCCTCAAACCCCTCAAACGCCTCCAAACTTCGACGCTCGTGCATATTTCGCCGTTTCCGTTCTGCGCCCCGCGTCTGCTCGACCGATGGCCTCTGTGCAACAGCCACAGGATCCAGAAAGCTCGCAGCAGGAACGCGCATCGCACTAAGGGTTTTGCCTTCGACAAGTTCAAGTGAGCATCCCCAGAACATCCAGCTTGTCTTCAGACATCAGCATCGAACGAAAGCTGTTTATCTTGAAAAAAGAAAAGAGAGAAAGAGAGAGAGAGAGAGAGAGAGCGAGAGAGAGAGAGAGAGCAAGAGAGAGAGAGAGAGAGTGAGCGAGAGAGAGAGAGAGAGAGCAAGAGAGAGAGCAGAGAGAGAGAGAGAGAGAGAGAGAGAGAGAGAGAGAGAGAGAGAGAGAGAGAGAGAGAGAGAGAGAGAGAGAGAGAGAGAGAGAGAGAGAGAGAGAGAGAGAGCGAGAGAGAGAGCGAGAGAGAGAGAGCAAGAGAGAGAGAGAGAGCAAGAGAGAGAGAGAGAGAGAGAGTGAGCGAGAGCGAGAGCGAGAGAGAGAGAGAGATGTTCAGGTTTCTTGCAGTTGCCTTGTTGAAAAAGAAAACGGTTTGAAACCCTATAAATAGTCGGGTAGATCACCTACCAATTGGTTCCTGGCAGAATACTGGCATCCTGCAAACAAGCTATATTTCTGGATGCAGTCGGGACATCCTGCAAGAGAAACATCGCATCCAAGTCCCAACTTCGCTTGATCTGCACCTCCTGTCATGCATGTTCAAAAGGCTTGGGATGCCAAATGGAAGGCACAATATAATCTGAATCAAAACGCCATGATATGAATCCCTGTGTGACAATGCAACAAGGGCATTTTTTACGTTTTTCGGGCCTCGGCAAAAGTCCACCGTCAAAGCCTTCCACGTTTGGCGATCAAGCCTTGTGCGGAGTCGAAATGAGGGTCCCAACAAAGGGGCTCTCTGTTGGGATGGGGGAACCAGGTTTGTTGGAAACCAATATCGCTAGGCATGCAAGCTCTGACCAGGGCTGCGAGCACGGGTGTCCATCTTTCAGACGTCCCCGCTCGATGGGTGGAAGCACTAGCACCATGCAGTAGGCTCGAATTGGAACGCGGGACCTCCCTTATGGGAGACCTTTGTAAGCCACGGAACCTCGCCACTCCTTAGGTCTTTGGAGCACGTTGACGAAACGAGACATCTGAAGGGCAAGGTTCCGCAACCCACGGCTTGATGCACACTTTGACGTCGCATTCAAATGAGATTAATTGCTCCCAAGACGACGCAAACACCGAACACGAGGCGCGCACAAGTCGAAGACTCCAAAGGCCCAGCCAGAAAGTGGCCGGAGTCTCCATGCATTACTCTATCCAGAAGGCTTGTCAAAGAGGAATAAAAATGCTGTCAATGGACTTTGTCCCAAGGAAGGGTCATAAAGCACAAAGCAAAAAAGCTTTACTCAGCCCTAAAAAGAGTCCTTAGCTTTGAATCTGTGCAAGTGCCCCGCTTTGGTGCAAAGAATCTGCCTGGCTGTGTGGCTGTGTTCTGGTGTCCGCGCTGGGTTGCACCCTTGCACAAAGGCACCGGGCGTCTAGTCCTGACCAGTCGGCCGATCGCATCGATGGAATCCGCGGAGTCAAGACAGGCGCAACATGTTTTCGTCGATACTCCAAATCTGGTCATGGCCATCCCGTCAAAACCGTTCTGCAAGCCCGAGGTTGACCAAACCCAAGTTGCCACCGCTGCAAGGGCTTGACATGTAAGCGTTTTAGCAGGTGACAAGCTTCCGGCCGAAACGCAGCAGGTTCATTTCAGGACCCTTCGGTTTTTGCATCTCGCCATTTTATGGTAACTTGCCCCGAAGCTTCACTTCGGGTTTTGAGGGCGCCTGCTTAAGACGAAGCGGAATGGGAGCTGAGCCACCGCTCAAAGAGAGAAACGCTGACACCGGGTTGCAAAGGGAACATGGCCGGAGCAACCTGGCCTTCCCTCTGCAAAAGTTTATATCACTTTGGGTTCAACGGAAAGCCCTGGATTTCCCAAGCTAGCGCCTGAAGATCTGAAGATCCAAGCCAGTCGCAATCCAAGTGTTTGGCTCTAAAAGGGCAGCTTGCGCCGGATTGACCACGTCAGTTCTACTTGATGTTGCTGCGATAGTTGACAGGCCCTCACAAATCGCCGCATCACAAAGTGGGACCGATCCCTCCTGTCCGCATTTGCCATTTTGGCAAGTTGCTTGCTTGTAGCATCTGATGAATATGGAGCCAAACCGCCCTAACATCACATTCGACGGGCGGGAAACTCGGGAGAATCTTCCGTGCCCACGTGCTCATCAAACAAATGCGGCAAACAAAAACAACTATCGCTTCGCCTACTTCTGAGATAACACTGGACAACGACGGAGAGACCAAAACCCACTAGAGAGCCAACGCCCGTTCACTCTTTGGGAGTTCCATCAGCGTCGCCTCCAGCCAGGGATGCGCCAAGGCATCCTTGGGGCTGATGCGGGCCATGGGATCCTCAGACACCGAAACCCGGCAGCTGGGTTTGGAGAGAGAAGCTTTGGCCGCCAGATTTCTGCCGACCAGCGACGGTCAAAGCCAAGAGGTTCCAAAACCAGAAAAAGAAAAGAAAAAAACAAAGCCTGAGCCGAGTTTTTGCTTCTCACCCTGAAAAAACAAGCGACGCGCGTGCGAACAAACAACTTTGAGCGGCGGGCCCAAGACATCATCTGCTCCAGTAGCTCCAGGCCGCCTGGATCGTGTGAGTCTCTCTGGGTTCGTAGCGTTTCGTAGGGGGTTTGTAGGGGGCTCACAGGGGTTCATCAGGGGTTCTGGGGGGGGGGGTTCGTGGAACTGCGCCAGAAGCGCGGGAATCTGGTGGGGGGAGGCCAGAATTTCACTTGGGCTTCACCTCTTGGAAATCATGATCCAGCACAGCAACATGTGACGTGTGATAGCATATTCTTCAAACCCCTGTGCAATAGCCGGCATTGTGAGCCAATGATCCGACTGACTTCTACATCGTGTATCAAAGGCCCTGTGGCCCACTGGCCGCCTTTTTCATGTTTCAACATTCTTAAGCGGTTTGCTATAGTTGGTTTAAACATTTTTTAGGTAAACTCATTTTACCACAAACTCCCACCCACCCTGCACCTTTCCAACCTGGTTACCAAAAAAGACGCCGCGCCCCCGCGTTTCGACGAGGGGCCCCCGCCCTCCCCGCCATCCCCGGCGCCTTCCGCTTCCAGCGGCACCCCCGGCGCGTTGCGCAGCACCGCCGCGAGGCCCCGGTGGCACACGGCCTCCGCCTGCCAGCGCTCGGAAGCGCTCGGCGGCTTCCCCGCAGACGATTCGTCGAGGTTTGGGGCATGGCCTCAGAGTAAACGTTCACAGCTTAGAGGGGCATTCTACTTAGTGGTTGGTAAGCCTGAGGTGAATGAATAACCTTGCCATGGTCAGAAGTCTCCGTTCAGGTTGCAACCAGGCTTGCCGACCACTTACTAGCCTGCTCCTTTCAGAGCCGATCCACGCAAGAGACTTCAGAAGGAGCGAGCTCATCCAAAAGGCGGCGCACCAAAAGGCGGGCGGGCGTCCTGAGGCCAGCGAGAGGGAAATGCTGATGGGCACGGGACGCTCCTACGGATCCCGCCATAACCGGTGCAGGATGTTTTATTCACTTGGGGGGTTTGGGGGAGGGGGTTGGCAGTTGGGAGATTCGTGGCTGTATTTGGAAGCTGCTTGTATTTGCAGGCATGCGCACTGTCTGCAACAGCTTTGCCATTTCATGCCATTTCACACGCTTCAACGCATCCCGGAAAGTGCGCAACGCGGTCGTGCGGTCCCGCGTGGACGAACAAAAACCTCAACACAGTCCGGGATCGTAGATCCCTCCGTCCGGCCCTCCTCCAGAAAGTCCACAGCAAGCCCTTCCCTTCCAATTCAACTCTTGGCATGCGTGTCAGAAAAGGGGGGGATCCTCAAAATCGCACCGTTCCTTTTGAGTTTCTTTCCGAACCCACCTGCAAAGGGTACCCTCAAAAACAGAAGCACACAAACACAGAAACACACGAGCAGCACACCCTCCCCTTCGCCCCATCGCCCCAATCTCCGCCCCCTCTCGCCGGTTGCGGCCCGCCTGGCGCAGCAGGATCTTCTCTGGATCTCGGCCAGGTACCGCAAAGAGGCCCAGGCCTCAAAGCGCGGCCCGGTGGAGCTTCGGATCCGAGCAGCGGGTGCCAAGTTGCTGGTTCATGGAACTTCGGAACTTCCCATATTTATAATTTGTTTTTGAAACAAACTGTGTTGAACAATGCCCTTATCCTGCGATCAGATCTGTGCTTGCCGGATCCGCGGCAAAAACACGATGCGGAACTTCAAGAGGCCATTGGCTCTACGCTCAAATCAAGCACCGGAAGAAATCCTGCACCACCATGAGAACAACACCTCACAACACAAGCACCAACTTGATATTGCTTGGTTGACGTTGGAAGGGGAGCAAAAAATAAGTCTTAGCAGTTAAGTGGGGATTTCCCACTAAACCACAATAAGCAAAAATGTAAAACCCAACAACAACCATGATTGGGCCCTTGAAAGGTACACCCAGTCACCCGCCGAACCGTGCAATTGGCCGCATATCCTGCACCACCGTCCTGTGTCACTCATGGAACTAGGGACGTGCTTGCACCTTGCCTTTATGAAGGGTCATACCCATATTCATGTGGCCCTATCCGCTGCTCGCCACGTTGACAGGTTTGTGTCACAGTATCTGATTTGCCCAATGCGTGTTCTGTTTTCTTCAAGAACTATAGCTAGTCGATGGATAATATCTCTGATAGTCTTGGCCTAATTCACTTCGCTGTCTCTATGTGTATATATATATATATCCATACACCAATTTCATCGGAGTGTCTTTCATGGTGGACCTGTTTTGGTTTGGTATTTAAAGGGAAGCAAAATAAATGCAAGCATTTTATAAAACTCCTACTTTTGAGAACTCCATACATATTATATGTGTGCATACTGTGTATATATATATACACGTAATACATATGAAATGGGTTTTCTACATGGAGCTGGACCCTGCTGTTGTTTAAGCGGCACACAGCTTCCAAGCTGAAACCTTCTCGTCACACGTAGCAGACCACACCACTCCAGAGACCCAACACAAACACAAAGTCCAACTCAAGCTGGCAGGGCTCACAAAATGCACGACATGTGAGTGTGTCTATTTTTGAGACAAATGCACCTCTTTCGTACGAAAAACAACGTGTTTTTGCAGGGTCTCTTTTGAGACACCCATGCTTTGAAGGCCCCGCAGACCTGGAAGTCGCTTTAACCAGTTTCAACATGAACGCAGGCGCGTTCTGGACACAAACCAGAAAAACAGACCCTTCGGGGTCCATGGTCAACCTCTGGGTCAAAAGAACAAGAAACAGTGCAATCTCTGCTACCCTTTTTGACACACCGACCCAGGCCAGTTGACCACAATGAACCACAAGAAGAAAAAAAACAGTCATGGCCTCATCCAACTTGCGAAAAAGAAGGAGACAAAGGAGGGGAAAAAAGGAAGAGCCAGAAATCGTACCCACCGCCTAAGCCAAAACGGCGCCATTTCACCGCTCCGTCTTCCGCGCCCAAAGAAAACCTCCCCCGCCGAACCCGGCGAAACCGCCACCGCGCCACCGCGCCACTCGCAGCTCGCAGCTCGCAGCTCGCAGCTCGGCGCCCGCGCCCGCGATGTTCCGCTGATCCGAGGCCACGCGGCACCTGAGCCGAAAGCGCGCGGTTCCGTTTGAGTCCGCCGCCAGGTCATGGGAAGACAAAGCACCCAGGGCCCAGAGAAAAGATGGGTACTGTTGATTGGGGGAATTAGGCCCCAGACAACAAGGGGAGAAATGATGTGCGCTTGATGAATTTTCCCAACCCAAAACGTAGGGTGTGCTTGATTGGGCCACCACTTGCGGGGAAAGTCGCGCCAATCTCAACTCCTCCTCGGGGAACTGGCCCACACGCTAACCCGCCAGCAAGGTTACAATGTCATCTAGGTCCTCCAGTAGAGAGTTTAGAAGACGGGGATCCTTTCTTTCGGTAGTCTATTTTAGTAGGGGAACCCTCCCCCAAAAAAGGGTAAAAGGGCACTACCGGGGGACCTAGCCATTGCTTTTGCTTTTAGTTGTGAGAAGCGATGCCGCCCCAAGTATGTGCCGGGAGAGCTGCGAAGAGCCTGAGGAGGCTCTTCAAATGGCACACGGTCAGATGCTTGCAATGGCAGTGTTCAATTAGACTCATGATCCAACACAAAATCTATGTTGTATCTTCATACCGGCCTGTCGAAAAATGATTACAGCACCAGTACTTTTTATGCAGCTGGGACGCTCAATTTGAATCACCCCAAGCATGGCTCTGGGGCCCGAACATTCCTTCAACCCGCGGCTTCTCAAAAGGGGCATCAACGTGAGCGCACAACACCCGGAAAGAGGATCCGCTTGGCAAAGAGAAAACTAGCCCTTTCCAGCCGAGCCTTAAAAAACAAGCGCAAGACAAGCCGGTTTGGCCCGACCACCTGTTTCAACGCATTCTAACACATCTTGTTTCGAGAAAATCCTGTATCTGCCCCTGCCCCAACCTATTTCAGCACCTTTAACCAAAACTGTTGCTTCAAGAAAATTCTGCTCCTCCCTAGGGTCCTAGGGGCCACGGCTCGGTTTTTCTTTCAGCCCAGTTTGGCCCAGGCCCGGCACTTGTACGAGAGCCAGAGAGGAGTTCCTAGGCTCATCTCCAGCAGGATGGATCCCAGGGACCACCTCGCGCGCCAGAGCGCCGAGGGACGCGTATGCGGGCGCTCGTGAGGCGATGCTGAGGGGTGTTGCAACTGAGCTCGAGCTCAGTTCGGGTGTGTCGTTTTTTTCTCAGCATGGGGAAAAGGACACCTAGTGGTTGTTTTCCCACCCATGGGGAAAGGGACACCCCGATCTCTGGCGGTTTGTGGGCTTATGGTGCCTTTGGTTGGTGCTTTAAAGCTGAAGGGAAACCACCGGCAAACCAAGCCGGAAAAGGGGATTCCCCTGCTTTAGGACATGTCCACATGTGTTTGAACACCCTGGCAACTGAGAGAGAGAGAGCGGGACAGAAAGCGTGCGAAACAAAGTAGAAGGCAAGGGCAAAGACGACCAAGTCCTCGGCAAGACATACCAAAAGAATGACCAAATGAAGCACAAGTGGAAATGCCGAGTCAAGATCATCGCTATATTCAAACGCAGTTCGCCTTCAGAGAAAGATAAGAGAAAGAGACTTAGAAAACATTCAGCTCTTGTTCCATGTCAAGCTCCCTGAACAGCACAGCCATTCCTTCAGCAATCCTACTGCTTGCTAAGATCCATCACAAAGCCCTCAAATGGCCTCTCAACATGAGCACAATGGAACGGATTTCTGCATCTGTCAGCAACCTGGCGTGTGCTTCCACTGGCTTTCTTGCAGAGTGTGAACTCTGGGCTATCCTTGTGACCCCTTTTTTTTGCAGGACCAGTTCGGCATAACTCCAAGAGGAAAGCTACACTGTTCGGTACGCCATGCACTTAGCCTGGTGTTCCTTGAGAAGACCATGAACATGGATCAGAGGTGCGGCAGTCTGCGCAAACTAGCTACTGGGAATGACACCCTGCACCTTCTGATACATGTGGTCCGCCTGGCCAAATTAGTGTCAGTCACAAACCGGAAATAGGGCGTCCTCCTAGTAAGGGACCTTTTTCTTGGCATGCTCTTTAGAGTTTGTGCAGATCCATTCGATATTGACGCCAAGAAAACACTCTTGGGGGCACATGCTTCACCCTACGTGACAGCTTCAACCAGCCAACTCAGGCTTTTTGGCTTCAAGTGGAGGCTACAAAGCTGGTTTTGTTCCTGCTACTCCAAAGCAAAGTTCATCATTGCACACCTCTGATTGGCAAACGACAGCACTGCCACCAAACAAGCCGGTTGTGTGGGCCCCTCCAACTCCCAGATCCTTTCTTTCCACCGGAAAAGTGCCCACTTGGCCGTGGGGCATAACCTGCCCATCTTGTGGACGAAGATCCATTTGCCGCCTATGTTCACCCGGGGGTACCATGGGTCTTGACCCAGCCGCTTGTTCCCTGCGACTGGAACCCATTCAAAGCGGGCTCCAGCCATCAGCCAAAGGCTCCGGGAGCCCGGCACGTCGAAGGACCAGGGCTGGGATCTAAGGCCACAAAGGGGTGAGAGGGGCGGGGAGGGTCTTGGGATGGTTTTTTGGTGCGACCTTTCTTTGGGAATGTTGGCCAAGGTAGGCTGGGTTAAAGTGTTTTTTGGGTGGGTGGGCTTGGGGTGGTTCTGTTACTGAGTTTTTGGGTGGGTGCTGCTTGCTTGCTTGCCTGCCTGCCTGGCTGCCTGCCTGCCTGCTTGCTTGCCTGCCTGCCTGCTGGCTGGCTGCATGGCTGCCTGGCTGGCTGCCTGGCTGGCTGGCTGGATGGCTGGCTTGCTGGCTGGCTTGCAGGCTTGCTTGCTGGCTTGCGGTAGTGGAAAACAGCGAGAAAACACCCTAAACAATATTGCACCTTTTCCTGGCTTCAAAGTGGGGGGTATCACCCATCCGTAATCCGTACAGGGACACCACTCCAACAAGGGAACCAAAGGGAAACCACGACCATCTAGCATAAGGATTCAGGATTGAGTTTGAACAACTGGAAAGGCACCCAGCCTTTGAGCTTCCCAGCCGGTGGCAAAACGCAACGCAAGGCTTGGCCAGAATCCATTCTCAACACTCGAAGGCTCTCAAACCCTCCAAAATGGAATGAGTGGAGTCCATGAATGGCAACAAAACATCTGGCAGAGAGTTGTTGAAGCAAAAACAGCTTGCCATCTGGTTTTCCACGCATCCGAAAAAAAAAAAAAAAAAAAAAAAAAAAACTGAACGATGCGTGAAGAAAAACACCATGCCCGAAAGTCCGAGCAAACACCGTGTTTGCACTCAGAACCTTGGACCCAGGCCTCGATTCGACTCTAAGGCAGGGTAGGGCCAATCTCCCTCTCCCTTTGCTTTCCAAAGGGGAACCACGGGCTGGTTATGAAAGACGCATGGGTATGAACTTTCATTCGGAACCCTTTGGTGGACATCAAAATTCGGCGGATATACATGTCCAGCAACCACTTTTCAACTGGTTCCCCCCCAAAAAAAAAACTCACACACACACACAGGGTGTTCTTTGAGGGGTGCCCTTTTTGGGATGCCTAAAGCCCAAGCCACTTGAGCCCATCCCAGGAGTCCCGGCTTCAGAGACTCCATGGACTCCGCTTTCGGCACCCGGCTTTGCACCGGCACGTTGCCTCGCCGAAGCCCGGGGGGCGAAGCTTCGGTTTTGGGGTGTGCGCTTCGAGGGTGCTTTGTTTTGGGGTTTGAAGGGAAGCCGAAAGGACGCCGCCCATTTCCGGGCTCACCCCCTGCCCCATTCTGTCACACAACGTTTTGCCCAAATTGCGGAAGCATTCTGAGCGAGCTTTTTTTTGGTTTCCGCATAAAGCACCCCAGGAACATGCCCTGAGCGGGGTAGGGGTACAGGTCCCAACGGTTCCCAGTAGAGTCATACCTTTGGGAGGCGAAACCAAGCTTCGACGTCCCAGCGATTCGCCCAGTGCGACTGTGTCGCTATGCGCATTTGTATTGGTAGACCTTGAAGTCTCGCGGAAGTGGGCAGCCGGAGCCCCGAGCCGACCACATCCCTCCCTGCAAGGGTACGATCAAACCACCAAATTGAGGGGGAAAAACAAACCGATCGGAGAAACCAGTCCCAACACGACTGGTGCAGTTGAAGCACAAGGCACGGCAAGCCACTCGCGGCTTGAAATTCCGCTTTGTATCCTGGGGGCTCGTTTGTGGCCTCTTGTCCACCTGCATCCGAACATGATCCTCTCTGTGAATGCGCACACCTCGCCTCTCCCCCTCTCAACCCCGTGCACATCTGTCGGCTCACAATGAACACCACAAAAAAAAAGAGTATCAAGATACCAGAGCTGATTCAAAATGGAAGGGCGATATAGTGTTCATGCAAACGGGCACGACTTCTAGATGTAAACGCCAATCAGAAAAGGTTATGATGGTGCTTTTGCTTGGCGTGAGAAGAAGCACGTATACGTTTGTTGATTCACCTGTCACTCCGTGTGGGTGCCTGCGTTTGCGTGCCTCAAACGAACAATATGAAGTGCATTGGGCCCAGTGGTCGGTCTGTGTATGAGTTCTTCTTGACCATGCTAACTGTCTTGGCCAGACCTTGCATATGCAAAAAGATGTGAAAAGTGAAAACCCACGAACACAATCTCACGCCGCTCTTCAAGAGTCCCTCCAGTTGAACTTTCTGAGTGCCAGCTCACTTTGGCTCACCTGCAAGTTTGGCCCCCCTTTTCTCAGCATCGGGGATGGGTGCGATTCGATTCAAAGTGTGCGCCTGTCAAGCGTGCAGCCATACTTGTGCGGCCGCCTCGGGATCGCCAGTTTCGCGCGCGCGCGCACTGATCGAGCGACAGCCCTGAAGCGGTTGGCTTTCCGACCTTCAAACTTTATGATGGAAAATAATATCTCGCAGACGGAATCCTTCAAGCTTTCTGGAATTCTTGGGGCGTGTCTCAAAGATCAGCTCCGATTTGCTCCGCGGCCGCATCAAAAACAGAAACTCGCAACCTTCTTTCTCGGTCGCCTTACATGGCCCACGGTTGGCGGCCGGCGTCGCGTATTCAAAGCGCAACATTTTTTGGCCCCCGGGCGCGCCAGGGTATTGCTTGCGCCTGCCAAAGCATAAGCCGGCCATGGAGCTCCGAACCAAAGAACTCCTTGGGATCACTCGAATCCTCAGGTATCTAGGTGGGGAGTTGCTAGACTGGTAACTCACTCTGCGGGTGTTCCTGAATGGCCCGTTCTTCAAGCATTCCCAAACAAAACATGCGGTTCGAGAAAAGAAACCAAAAGTGGGCCTGCGCTATTTAGCCCCCAACTCCAGGCAACACTTAGCGAGCAAGTCTGCAGGTAGCATCCTATATGTATTGCAAACTTGGAACTTTGGTGAGGTATCCAGTCTACTGAATAAACCGGAGCAAGGTGCTCGACTAGCCGACCGGCTCGCACATCACCTCACCCTTGGTCTCTGAGATGCTCACTGTTCATCTTTCCACTGGCAACGCGTCCAAGTATAGGGTTGACATGCGTTTGTGCGTCAGCAAATGGAAAAACAGCAAGTTGCAGCCTGAAGCCTCTCAGAAGGCTGCACCCTCGAAACCCGGCCGCAACCCCACCACCAGCACACCTTCGCCACGCCGCCCGCCTGCATTTCGGCCAGCACAAACTTCGAGGCCCTGGGGAAGCGATTCAAGAGACCAACCGCCTTGGACCTCTGGGTCCCCCCGTCTATGTCTTGACAACTAGCTGCCATCATTTTTGGAGGGCCAGATCCTAGTTCGAAAAAACACCCAAAGCTTTTGCATCCTGATCTCCGACAGTCGGCATGAGTTACGCAGAACCCAGGAGGAATAAGTGTGTCTTTCTTTGAGGGTACCCTTTTTGGGTTGGTTTAAAGGGAAACCTCAAGGGAAACCACCCTTTTCCGTATTTGCCCACAAACGCATTCATAGGTGCCATGACCAACCCAAACCCAGGCCAGTTCTGTACTAAATCCGAGCTACCACAACTCAACCAATGGTGTCTGCCATTGGTTGAGTTGGATTTCAACGGTGGTGAAACCTGAAAAGCGATACACCCTGTTCACCAGCTCATGAGGATGCTGATTGCATCCGCATACTCCAGCCACAGCTGCTGTGGAAGGCTCACAGCTGTGAGCTTCTCACCACCCACAAAAATGCTTCTATCATTTCCTCAGTATCTGGGTAAATCACAAATGATCCACCGACCTCAAATGAAGGAAGCCCTCATCACGGGTGTCGCAAAAGGTCCGGTACTTCTGGTCGCCACACTTTACTCCCTTTTTTCGGGCACGATTTTACAAGGACCACCACCCCGCAGCCGCGAAGCGCCCCCAACGCCCCTTCCCCCTCCCCCCCCAAAGCCCCGCAGCCCCGGCAGCCGGGCCCCCGCCGGGCCTCGTGAGGCATGTACTCGGGCGTCGCCACGCTGAGGCTCTCCGGGGAGTCGAAGGAGAAGGCGCTGCCCAGGTCGATGAAGCGCACCTCGGGGTGCTTGGACGCGGTGCGACGGGGAGAAGTGGAAGGCGGAAGGTAAAAAGCGAAGAGGGGGAAAAGAGACAGGGGGGTGGCAAGAAGTGAGAGAGTCAAAAAGTGAAAGAAAGTGAAAGAGAGTGAAAGAAAGTTGAAAGCGAGTGAAAGAGTGAAAGAGAGCGAAAGAGAGTGAAAGAGAGCGACAGAGAGTGAAAGAGAGTGAAAGAGAGTGAAAGAGAGCGAAAGAGTGAAAGAAAGTGAAGAGAGTGAAGAGAGTGAAAGAGAGTGAAAGAGAGTGAAAGAGAGTGAAAGAGGGTGAAAGAGGGTGAAACAGAGCGCAAGAGAGTGAAAGAGGGTGAAAGAGGGTGAAAGTGGGTGAAAGAGAGCGAAAGAGAGTGAAAGAGAGAAAGAGAGTGAAAGAGAGAAAGAGAGTGAAAGAGAGTGAAAGAGAGTGAAAGAGAGTGAAAAAGGGTGAAAGAGGGTGAAAGAGGGTGAAAGAGGGTGAAAGAGGGTGAAAGAGGGTGAAAGAGTGAAAGAAAGTGAGGCTGAAAGAGGGTGAAAGAGAGCGAAAGAGAGTAAAAAGAATGAAAGAGTGAAAGAGAGTGAAAGAGGGTGAAAGCGAGTGAAAGAGAGCGAAAGAGAGTGAAAGAGGGTGAAAGAGGGTGAAAGAGGGTGAAAGAGAGAAAGAGAGCGAAAAAGAAAGAAACAGAGTGAAAGAGAGTGAAAGAGGGTGAAAGAGAGCGAAAGAGAGTAAAAAAGAATGAAAGAGTGAAAGAGAGTGAAAGAGGGGGAAAGCGAGTGAAAGAGAGCGAAAGAGAGTGAAAGAGGGTAAAAGAGAGTGAAATAAAGTGAAAGAGAGAAAGAGAGTGAAAGAGAGTGAAAGAGGGTGAAAGAGAGTGAAAGAGAGTGAAAGAGAGTGAAAAAGAAAGAAACAGAGTGAAAGAGAGTGAAAGAGGGTGAAAGAGAGCGAAAGAGAGTAAAAAAGAATGAAAGAGTGAAAGAGAGTGAAAGAGGGTGAAAGCGAGTGAAAGAGAGCGAAAGAGAGTGAAAGAGGGTGAAAGAGGGTGAAAGAGGGTGAAAGAGAGAAAGAGAGCGAAAGCGAGTGAAAGCGAGTGAAAGCGAGTGAAAGAGAGTGAAAGAGAGTGAAAGAGGGTGAAAGAGGGTGAAAGCGGGCGAAAGAGGGTGAAAGAGAGCGAAAGAGAGTGAAAGAGGGTGAAAGAGTGAAAGAGAGTGAAAGCGAGTGAAAGCGAGTGAAAGCGAGTGAAAGCGAGTGAAAGCGAGTGAAAGAGAGTGAAAAAAAGTGAAAGAGGGTGAAAGAGGGTGAAAGCGGGCGAAAGAGAGAAAGAGAGTGAAAGCGAGCGAAAGAGAGTGAAAGAGGGTGAAAGAGAGTGAAAGAGAGTGAAAGAGAGTGAAAGAGAGTGAAAGAGAGTGAAAGAGAGTGAAAGAGAGTGAAAGAGGGTGAAAGAGGGTGAAAAAGAATGAAAGAGAGAGAAAGAGAGTGAAAGAGAGTGAAAGAGGGTGAAAGAGAGTGAAAAAAGGAGAAAGAGAGTGAAAGAGAGTGAAAGAGAGTGAAAGAGAGTGAAAGAGACTGAAAGAGAGTGAAAGAGAGTGAAAGAGAGTGAAAGAGAGTGAAAGAGAGTGAAAGAGAGTGAAAGAGAGTGAAAGAGAGTGAAAGAGAGTGAAAGAGAGTGAAAGAGAGTGAAAGAAAGTTGAAAGCGAGTGAAAGAGTGAAAGAGAGCGAAAGAGAGTGAAAGAGAGCGACAGAGAGTGAAAGAGAGTGAAAGAGAGTGAAAGAGAGCGAAAGAGTGAAAGAAAGTGAAGAGAGTGAAGAGAGTGAAAGAGAGTGAAAGAGAGTGAAAGAGAGTGAAAGAGGGTGAAAGAGGGTGAAAGAGAGCGAAAGAGAGTGAAAGAGGGTGAAAGAGGGTGAAAGTGGGTGAAAGAGAGCGAAAGAGAGTGAAAGAGAGAAAGAGAGTGAAAGAGAGTGAAAGAGGGTGAAAGAGAGAGAGAAAGAGAGTGAAAGAGAGTGAAAGAGGGTGAAAGAGGGTGAAAGAGAGCGAAAGAGAGTGAAAGAGAGTGAAAGAGAGTGAAAGAGGGTGAAAGAGAGTGAAAAAGAGAGAAAGAGAGTGAAAGAGAGTGAAAGAGAGTGAAACAGAGTGAAAGAGAGTGAAAGAGAGTGAAACAGAGTGAAAGAGAGCGACAGAGAGCGACAGAGAGCGAAAGAGAGTGAAAGAGAGTGAAAGAGAGCGAAAGAGAGTGAAAGAGAGTGAAAGAGAGTGAAAGAGAGTGAAAGAGAGTGAAAGAGAGTGAAAGAGAGTGAAAGAGGGTGAAAGAGAGTGAAAGAGAGAAAGAGAAGGAGAAGCCGTGTACTGGGTGCCATTCCCTGAAATATGTTTTGCCCTCTGTCCATGACAAACCCGCCCAGGTCTCTGGCGGCCTCCCGATATCCCAGATATCCCAGAGGTGCTCGTTGGATTCCAGATTCCCATGCCCGCTCAAGCAAGCAACTCCCTTGCAGCGTGGTTCAAGGAAGGAACCCACTTGTTTCACAAAGCTTGTTCTCTGCCAAAAGTCTCCATGCAATTCGTTTGTAAGCGCCGAAAAACAACCAACAAGTGCGACAAACCAACTGCGACTGGTTGCTGTCGTCTTGGCAGGGATGCCAAGATGTGTCCAACAAGACAAACAAATGGTTTCCCAAACTTGGGACATGATGCATTCACCCCGCTGGCCTTGCCTTTGAGCAAAAGACTTAAACTTCCCGCCCTCGGTCTTCCAAGGGAACAAGTAAGACGTTCCTCGGTCGGTGGTTGGTTCATCGTTCAAGGGATTCAAGGGGTTCCAATGTGACCATTGGCAAGTGGGAGAATTGTTTCTGGCAACGGCAGAAAACTTGGTTGACGTTGGAAGGGGAGCAATAATTCAATTCTAGCAGTTAAGTGGGGATTTCCCTCTAAACCACAATAAGAAAAAAGGATTATTTTTCCCCAACAACAACCATTCAAAGATGCCGCATCAAAATCAACCCAGTTTTCCCTCCTGGGCATCGTTGGTCAGTGACTTTCCCAGGCTTGAGCAAGCGGCCGCTGCAGTCCACGTTGCATGTGGCTCGGCCAGGAGAAACACGGTCAACATGTTTCTGAAACAAGTCCAGACATCTTGCCCAATTTGTCCAGAAGGCTCTTTGATCCACAAGCATTCAGGCCCGGCCTGGGAGCTAAACTGAACTTCTGCCGGTGCGTTCATTCCTGCTTTGCGGTATGAGTTACTACACCATTCTCACAACTCCGCGTCCCTCCAATTGGTGGTTTGGATTGGCGGTTTTTTTTTGGTCTTCAAAGAGCAGGGGTGTCCCATTTACCCTCTACAAGCACCAGGTCTCCACATTCCCAAAACACCAATTCAAGCCACCACTTAGGGGCTACCTGAGAGCTTCCCCCCGAGGAGCCGGCTCGCACCTGGCCGCGCTCATCCTGATCCACCAGGATGTTGTCCTCCACGAACAAATCGGAGCCACTCATGGGTTCCCAAAAACGAACATCACCCCACTTTATATATATATATACATTTGCCCAAAAAGCTATGTTTAAGCAGACCAGATGGGGAAGATCACTTTACATTTGCCCGAAAAGCTGTGTTTAAGCAGACCAGACGGTGAAATATTTGTATACACTTGCCCAAGAAGCTATGTTTAAGCAGACCAGATGGGGAAGATCACTTTACATTTGCCCGAAAAGCTGTGTTTAAGCAGACCAAACGGTGAAATATTTGTATACACTTGCCCAAGAAGCTATGTTTAAGCAGACCAGACGGGGAAAAAGGAGGGACCCCGTGAAGTTCCCTGCTGTGGATGAGCTTGGACGGATGACACCCTGCAAATGCTGAAATCAACCTACCAGGTGCCGGATGTTGTTCATGTATGACTAGCCCCTGCCGCTGCCGGAGATGTCAGCGAACATATTCGTGTGACTTGCCTCTAAGAGGCTGCGGAACCTTCTGCAGCTGGGAGAGACTCAAAACCGCGGAACAGGCGCCAACGAGGACAGTATGAACCTTGCCATGCTCAATTCATTTGCTGTAATCCCGACATGGGAGTTTGGTCAACCAACTTCCATGTCCCAATGCTAAAATGATGAGTGCGACCCATGTCACCCTTTCCGCCCAAACATCGGATCCCACTCATTTCAATGGGCCAATCTGAGGCAAGCAACGCAGTGGCAATCCGATCCCCCCGTAAAGAAACCCTCAAGGCCACACTTCGTAGCACAGGGGCACAGGGGGTGTGTCAAAATAGGGGGCTCCCAAAAATCATCGAGCTTCCTTTGGCTGCCCTTTAAACCATAAAAAGCGTAGCCTCGAAAACACGAGGACGCCCCAGAAATGGAGGAGGAACGGGGTACCAAGCACCCAAACCCATCTCCAACCCCGGCTCGACCCAAATCACCCTACAAGCCTCAAGCCCATCGCACCACGAAATTTAGAATCAACACGCGCCCTGAACCGGTTCAGGGCACCATGCCCAGACAGGAGTCTTTCTTAAACATGCTTCCCTGTTTGGGCAACCTCCTTTTAGCTGCTCTTCAAACCAGGCGCTTCAAGCCAATGCAACCTGCTGATAGGTTCACCGTTTGCCAACCCCCCACCACAGAACCACCTGCAAGCGCCGAAATGGTGGTTCAAAGGGGCCCTAGCCCAGAAAAGGCTGATTTCCTTTGGGTCTGCCTTGAAGATGGTTCGGCTTTCAGGAACCCAGTTGAGTCAGTGCTGACGGAACCAAGATATTCTTCCAAAGGCCGTGCCGCACCTTTTCCCTCAAATCTAACCGTCATCTATCCATTCGGTTTTGAGGACGCGACTCAGTTGTGTCTTCAAACAGTGCGACCCCCAAAAACATCACCTTGGCTTCCTTTTGCTTTCCCTTTCAGATCCAACCAAAACAAAAACAGCGCGCACACACACACACCCACACCTTGGCCTCCCAACACCCCTCCCCCCACCCCTCCCCCCACCCCAGCCCCCCCCCCCCCCCAATCCCCCGATCTCCGGCTTGATGTCCGAGTGCACCACCCGGTGCTCCGCAAAGAGCGCCAAGGCCGAGAGCAGCTGACGCAGCACCGCCTGACGAAAAGATCCGCGGCTTGCGGCGGCGGATCGAAATCGGAGCTGAGCCCCGGAACCATTCTAAGGGTTCTTGTATTACCTGGGAATTCACCTGGGTACTGACCCCATTTAGGCACATGTCCGGATAAAGCCGTGTTATATTGAACCATTCTGGGTCATTTCCTAAGGGTGTCCCAGGGAGTAATACAAAAACCCCCAGAACCGTGGGCTGGTTCCTTTCGATTCCACCTGGGCCACCAAGAGGGAGACCATTTTGAGAGATGTTGAAACGGGGCGGCGTTTTTTAGGGCAACCTTAGCAAGGGAATCCTCCAAGCTGGCATTTTGGGGTGTGTTCGTGTGTGTTTTTGAGGGCCTTGTCACCTTGTCAAGGGAAACCAAAAGGCAAACCGTAATCCATTCTTGGGGCACCCCTACTTTGACACCCTAAACTTAGCGGATGGCTACAAAACACAAAGCACCAGTTGGTAATCCAATAGACACCCCTAGGATTGGGTTTCCTTTTGGATGTCCTTTGAACCAGCCAAAGGGGGGTCGAAATAGCCGAAAGTCGGAAATTTATTAAGGGTCAGCAGCTTAGGATTGAAAGTCTCAGGCTGAGCATTTTGGCTGCATGCTTCGCATCACCTGCATCAAGGCATTTCGAAACAAGAACACGCGGCTCAAAACGTGCTGGGCATCGACCGCTCTTGCAAATCCTGACTAGTGGAGCTTTTTTCTCAACATGTCGCCATGAAAGCCGGTCAACTGCCACAGGTCCCGTCACGAGGTTTCGTCAACCATTGCTTGTTCAACCTTCTTTTGGCTTTCTTGAACTGGACCTGGGCGAGTTTTTAAAGGGACCTTTCAATGGGCTGGCTTGTTTCTTGTCGACCCGGGAGTACTCAACCTGCTGGATCGTCAGGCCGAGTGCAGGTCCCTCGGTCCGAGGCTCAAACGGACACCTCGCAATCAACACGGGAGTTTCATCCTCTCCCCTGGTGCGATAGGCAGGGAATGAGAATTGGAACGACAAGAAAGATATCCAGAAACGATCCAGCCAATGGGATGTTCCTTTCTCCGGAAAATCCCCCTAAAACCGGGAATCCTTCCATTTTCCTCCTTTTTTGCTGTTCTCGCATCCAAGAGACACAAACCAAATCCCGCTCTCCGCTCTCGCGGCGCCTTGAGCACCCGGGCGTCCCGCTTCATGGACTCCAGAAGCGGCAGATGCATCACCTTGTAGAGCCGCTCCCCGCGCACGAACTCGCCCTTGATCTCGTAGGCCTCGATTTGGTTTTTGTTTTAGTCGATAGGTCCAAACCTCAGGCGATCCAAGAGTTAGGTAGGGCCATGCGCAACTTTTTTCGGACTCAAAAGTCTAGGGTCCACCCTAGGATTTTTTGCATTTTTTGAATAAGCGCCTCAAAACAGCCATTTTAAAACATTTTTTGAAACAGTCTAAACACATTTTGATAAATATTTTTTTAGTACTGCATACCAAAACAAAAATTGAATTATTTTTTGAAAAATTCAATACACCTAAACATGTTTATTTTCAAAAACACACATTTTCCAAAATATTTTAGAAAATATATTTTTTTCAAAAGAGATAAATATATATATAGCATTTTAAGAAGAATTATTCAATAAGAAACAACATTTTCAATAATTCAATGAGAAGACAAATAATTAATCATTTTTCAAAATTTGGATATTCCGGAGTTGCGCATGGCCCACCTTGTAGGATTTTATCTTCAATATATAAAACGCTATACTTACATTATAATTATAACATATAAGGGTATAAATGTTATTATTATAGTATGGTTATAATCTAAATTCAGGATAACTATTTAATTGATATATCTTTCCTCTTTCATACATCATTTTAATAATACTATTAATATCTCTCACTGTATTTTTAACATTAAACTTTTCACTTTCAATAAATAATTTAATGATTTTTTTTACATCAACCCCTTCCATTTTATGATAAATCAATGCCCATAATATGTAGTCAATAATTTCATACTTTTTCTTACTGATTTTAAGAAATGCTTTAACATAATCATAAGGCGGTATTTCATACACAGTTAAAAATATCAAAATGTCATCTTCAACATTTCTTTCATTAAACCTTTTAATATCTAAATTATATTCGATTGCGTCTTGGTAATATCTCCATTTTTTACATGTTCTGCATATATTTTCTTTACCCAAAGAATAATCAACAATATTATTAACTATTCCATTAGGTAAATTTAATTTATATAATTCCATATTTTCCTCTTTGAAGTGGCAACAGTCATAGCATTTCTTATTGATATAATTATTGATTTCGGTTTCCGCCATTACACACTATATAATAATATATAGCTTTTATTTCTTTAAATACTTTTTTTCCAAGAAATAAAATTAAATATTGAAATATAAGTATAACATATCATATTTTACATGTTATTATTATATTATGATTATAATTTCAGTACAGGATAATAATTTAATTGATTTGTCTTACTTCTTTCATACATCATTTTAAAAATAATATTAATATCTCTCAATGTATTTTGAACATTAAAATTTTTACTTTCAATAAATAATTTGATATTTTCTTTAACATCTTGTCCTTTCTCTTGACTATAACACAACATCCTTAATATATCATCAATCATACCATATTTTTTCTTAGGGATTTTAAGAAACTGTTTAATATAATCATAAGGCGGTATTTCATACACAGTTAAAAATATTATAATGTCGTCTTCAACATTTCTATTATGTCTTCTTTTCAGATTTAAATGACATCTGATTAATTCTTGATTATCTCTCCATTCCTGACAAATTGTACATTCATCTTCTTCATCCATTGAATAGTTAATAATATTATTCAATATTTTATTAGGTAAATTTAATTTATACAATTCCATATTTTCCTTTTTGAAGTGGCAACAGTTGTAGCATTTCTTATTGATATAATTATGGATTTCGGTTTCCACCATTTCTATTATAATATATATAGTTTTTATTTCTTTAAATACTTTTTTTACAAGAAATATTAAAATATTATTTAAATTATTATCATTTACAACTACAATTGCATCTAACACAGTAAGGAATAATATTATTCAGTTCGTGTGACAACTCGTTTGATTTACGTTGCGCTGTCAGATTTGTCATTATATTACCGTTTTTAATATCCATAGAAAAACCGCATCCGCAGTAATTACATTGATTTGTGATATTATTTAAAAACCATTGCGCATTTACATAACCTTCTTTAGGTATTGTTCTTTTGGCTTTCCTGTCTTGTTCTTTGTAATTTAATATTTTCCTTTCAAAATAACTCATAATACATTTTTGATTAAATACATCATCAATATCTTTCGTATATTTATAAAATTTGACTTTGTTTAAATCTCTACACCTTGTAATTGCAGTCCATATCCATTCTGGATAATTCTTTACCAAAAAATGGTTATAATCAAAAATTGTTATGGTATCATCAATGCTACTGCCTTGGGCAGAATGACAAGTCGAGAAATATGCAAATATAAAATTACTTCTTATTTTATCAACTGGCAAAGACTGTAGAATTTCAGTTTTAACATTTTTCAACGTAAATATTCCATCGCTTCCAATATGAACAATTTTATATTTGAAATTTACATTAAAAACTGATGTTTTAGTTGTTGTATATTCTCTACAAATTAAAAATTCTCCTACTTCATATTCATCTTTTCTATTTTCTAATTTTCTAATTTCATTTGATACATGTTTACAAGTTGTATTTAAAAATGCTATGTTGTTGATTGATTTGCTTATGTCAGTTGTATATTCAAAGTATTTTTCAATAACTTTCATAATAGGTAATTTATTTTCAAAAATATCAATTTTAATATTTCTTAGTTTATCTTTATCTTCCTGTGTGTTAAGTCGCTTACATTCTTTTAACAAAATATTATATTCAAAAATGTTATCTATAATGTTATCAGTATATACTTCATAGTCTCGAGTATTTGTTATCTCTTGAACTGGTTTTAACTGCTTGGTGTCTCCTGTTGCTATTATAATTTTGTTGTGCTTATTCTGTTCTACAAATTGTTTTATTCTCCAATATATATTTAAATTACTAAAATAAACTTCGTCAAAGACTATAACATCAAAATCTGTAAAATCAAATGGTTCTAATTTAGCATCTCCATAATTAATACCGAAAAATTTATTTATTGTCATTGCTTCGCCTTCGAATGCCTGTAATAGTTTATTAGTAGGACAAATAAAAATTACATTATAATTTTTATCAACCATTTTTTGACATATATATGATTTTCCTGTGCCCGGTAGTGCTCCACGAATCATAATAGGATTATTTTGTTCAATAATTTCTATAATATTATCTGTGTCATATTCATCTATTATATCAATAGTTTTACTTTCATAAATTGGTATTTGTATTAATTCGTTTTGTGTAATTTCATAATCTACAGTAGGAAATTTAATATATTCGTCGTTTGAAATTCTCCATCCTCCTATTTCATTATTAAAGATTAAAAGCTCTCTTGCTTTTGTTATATCCGATCGCGCTATTGTAAACGCATCTGTTTTGACACTGAACACATTAATACCATTTTGATATAACTTAGAATAATCTTGATACATTCTAAAATTATGGTATTGAAGCAGTAGCTCTTTTACATACCTAAAACCATTCCTTAAGCGTGATGTGTCCTTTAAATTAAGTATATAATATGACGCCTGTTCTTCTTCTGCTGTATATTGTTCTTCATCTACTGTAATTTGTTCTGTCGTGAAATGTGTTAATTTATGTATTTTACCTCCATACTCTGCCTGATAGTTTAAAGCTTCCTTAAGATTTTTAAACACTGTGCTTTTCTGGTCAGTTGCTCCCCCTTTTTCTAAAAGTCCATAATTAACATTTGCGACCAGTTTTTTTATACATTTATCTTCCTCATTGTCTTCGCTAATGTTTGTGTTCCAAAGTTCATTAACAATATTTTTATGTTCAACTTTGTGAATAAATGAAGGTTGTTTAAAGTATAAAATATTAATTCGTTCTCTTGTCATGTTATCTAGTTGTTTCAAAAATACACCATATATTAAGCAATATTTTTTATTAAATAGCATTCTTCCTGTCCGTTTTAGTATAGTAGTTTTCTTTTCTATATAATATAACGTTAAGTCGTGTAGGTCATAAATATCAGTTGTATCATCAAACGCTCGCCATATGTCGAATTGATTAAATACTGGTATTTCTGATATAGTAATAAACGCATGAGTAAATGCTTTTGATATATCGATTTCGATTTCATTTTTGATATCGCCCCTATCGCACAATAAGCCAGATGGAACAACTGTTCTGGCTTCGTCTAAAATTTGAATATCAATGTCATTATAAAACGATTTATGAGATAAGTTAAACAATGACTTATTAAAATTAAACATTGCTTTATTCATATTGTTATATGTGGTTTCATCACATACTGCAATACATCCATCTGCAGAAGTTTTAATTAAATTGTGTGTTTTTATTATATATATTGTTTTGTTAAATTTTATTTTTATTTCTGATATAATACCAGCTTGAAATCTAATTCTTGGTTCGTAGCCACTATTAACTAAATTGAAAAATAATTCAGATAACTTATTGTCTTCGGATACTAAATATATCTCTTTTGTTTTTTCATCAACTTTGATATTTAGTATATCGTCAATATTTTTTATCATTCTATAAAGCGGTGGTTCCTCTCTTTCATTAATATAGTAGTCGGTTGAAGCTTTGACAGTTGGTATCTTGGTTATTAATTGTTTCTGTTGAATGCTTTTTAAGTCGTGATTCATTGCGTAAATATGACTGTTTTTGACCATTGCATAAAATGGTTTGATGTGCCTACTATTTATATCGGGGTCGCATTTATAAATTAATTTATTGCAACAATCATAAATTCTGCATGGAATTTTAAACTGTTTAAATACAGCCTCCATCTCGTGAATGGTTGCCCCCGTTTCGCTAAAGTTATCTCTACCTATAATTTCAATTACTCTCTCTCTAGTTAGTCTATTACGGGTCCTTTCGTTCATAATTGTGTCACTGTAAAAATCAGTTAATGCATTAATCCAGCATTCGTTTTCAATATAATTACCCTTGTTAATTGCCTTATGTATGGTGTCTTCGTTCATCCTTAAAGGTGTATGTATATACCTATTAAAAATTGAAACATTAGTAGCATCCCTTAAATTTTCTGTAAGAATGTCAAATTTTTCGC